ATACTGTGAGGGAAAATGCTGCTGTTGTTTTAAACATGAGCAGTTATTACTCCTAAGTTGCAAGAGCATAAAGTAGTGAAAAAAACATTGTACTCAGAATCAAGAAAAATGGGTTCTCGTTCTTGTGCGACCTTGAGTACATCTCTTCATTTCTCTGAGCCTATTTACTTATCTGCTCAATGGAGGGTTAGGGTTGGGTTCAGATCACAGTACGCTGGTAAATGCTTAATCACCAGCTTTTGGGGGTAGGGTGGGGGGCAATGTACAAATGATATACTTTTAAGTTTAATCTACATTTTCACACTTTCTTAAACCTAGACTATCAACAAAATAATAAATCAGGCTCATGGTTTGCTGACTTCTGAGGAATAAATGCTCACACAGAAAATTTAATCATTGGGTAGACTCTGGATTGGAGATGACTCCAGCACATCACTGGTTAAGATGATCAATAAGGTCTCTTCTAGCACTAACATTCAATGATCCTCTGTGGTTTCAGGTTATCCTTTGTCTCTGTGACAACAACCCAACCCAAACAGGTCAAGTGTTGTCTTTTTAAGAGCTGATTCTCCATCTATTTCACTTTCTTCTATCCTGGTACTTCAAACTCTCCCCCATCTGGAAGTTCTTTCTTACATCCAATCCAAGTATCTCCTGTTGAGGCTTTCACTCTGCCCTTTGTGAGATAAAGAACAAAACGTTCATGGGGCCTAAAGATGTTCATGTCCACCCCCCAGCCCTCAACCACCACCACCACCATCCACCTCTCTCCAATTCGACTTCAGCTTTGTCTTAGACCGTAAAACAAACAAACAAACAAATCCTTAGAATCCAAACAACCACAGAACACAGGAACCCCTTCTGTGGATGTTCATTCAAGCCTCTTCTTAACATTTTTCAAGTGACAAGGAGTTAGTTCACTGTCTCTCAAGGCAGCCTACTCCATTATTAGGCAGTTCTAATGGTTAAAATGTTATTTCTTCTACTGAGCTCATAGGCTCATAGATGTAGAGCTAGAAAGTCATCTAGTTTAACCTCTCACTTTACAGATGAAGAAACTGAGGCACAAAGGGGTGAATTGGTCTTCCCAAGGTCAGTACCTTATGGTAATTTCTACCTGTTGATTCTAATTCTGCCCACAGAGCAACACAGAATAAGAGAAGTCTCTATTTCATGTGACCGCCTTTAAAAAAAAAAAACAAAAAACTTGAAGACAGTTTTCTCTTCTCCATACCAAAAATTCCTAGTTCTTTCAACTGTTTTTTCATGTCATTTGGTTTCCAAGTTCCTTATCATTGCCTGGACTTCCATGTCTCTTCTCAAAGAGTGGTACCCAGAAATGAATAATACTAATGCTACTATCATTATTAATCATCCCAAATCTCTCAGATTTTTCTTCCAACCTATCCCTATCTTATGCTCAATCCTTCACCATGATCCTTCTACTTGGACTTGGAGAATCTAAGAATGAGCCTTTGGACTTTGAGGGTCTAACCCAAACTGGGAAAAATGTAAAAGGCCCTACTATCCCATTCCCAGAGAAATGACTGACCACAGTGGTCACTAACTACTGAGATATATTCAGTTAGGGTTCCTTTTCTCTCCCATAGTAGAAAAGGGAACAAAACCCCAGAAGTAAGAATAAAACAACCAACAAAAAAATCAGCTCCATTCCTTAGCCTCTTTAGGAATCAGAAGTTTGTGAGGATATTGAGCTTTGGTTAAAGTAAAAGGATATATCAAGTTTCCTTGGACTTCTCCAACCTTTGTCTAACCTTTCTTCACTTCTCCCAGGCTCCCATACTCCTCGTATTTTCAGATCACCATAATAGACATCCCACCCCATAGGACGTACCCTCTTCACTCACTCCAGGAAGAGAAACTGGTATCGTAGCCTTTCAGACCCAGGTAGGAATGAAGCATGGACATTGCGGAAACTGGAAAGAGGTTGCTTTAATTTTCCTTTTTGTGTGAAAATCATAACTGTCATTAAGGGAATCACATGGGATACAGAGCAATGGGACAGGGGCTATTTGGGGTTGTGGGAGTTCCAAAGTAGAAGACTCAAGCTCATAGCTGACGCTGGATGAGGTTTGGGAGAGGGAGATATGAAAAGGAGTCCAAAATCCTTGGAAGGAATGAAAGGAGAATTTTGAGAAGTTTTTTTTTTTTTTGGAGAGAGGGCAAAGCAGGGAAATTATACAAAGAGGATAGTGGAAGGGGTGATGTGGTGAGAAAAAAGCCAAGGTTGGGGAAAGGAAGGAGGAGAGAGGGGTGGGAGGAGAGAGAGACAGAGAAAGAAAGAGAGAGAAATGTCCAGCTAGAGCAGCTTCAGACCCTCACTCTAAACCAAAGTGCACAATACGGCAATAAATAGCAACATTTATAAATAAATTAAATAAATAACATAAATAAATAAATAAATATCCTTGTGGTAGTGAAAGTTTGGGGGAAGGGTGAGAAGGAAGAGGCAGTGGTAGGGGAAAGGAAGAAAGGAGGCAGCATTGTCACTCCTATACCAGCCAATGGTCCCTTCAGCTCATGCCACTTTTACACATTGTATTTTTGTATATGCATGCACATACACACACACACACACACACACACACACACATTTTGATGACCAGGGCAGGATTCAGCCTTCATCCTTCAGCAGAGCTAGAGGGGACCCCCTTCTCTAGAGGCACTTCTGGGCCCAGAGGCCTTGCCAGGAAGGAAAGACACAGGAGAGGCAGTTTCTTTTTGGTGGGGAACAAGGGGGGAAGGGAAAAAAATGCTATATCCGAAGTCATAGAACCTGCAGAGACCCAAGAGGAATGAAATTCACACACACACACACACACACAAACACAAACACCCCATGGGGGTGATGGGACATTTGCAGGTAGGTATCTGAAGTCTGCCCATTGGCTTGTTCTCCTCTGGATATATTAGATCTGCTTTGGATAGGCCCTAGGTTACTCTGACCTTTGATCTGACCAGATATAACCAGATAATACTTTCCCTGGGCCACAAAAAAATGGACAGGAAGGAGGCAGAAGGGTAGAAATAGCCAAATAACCCAGAAAAGCAAAGCATACAACTAGGAGGAGATAAGCATCAAGAATCAACTAGATAACAAAAATGATAGTTTCTTATCTGAGGGGATCTCCAGGGCATGTACCCCATTTACCCTGACTCCAGCCATCTTTGCTTTCCTGGTCTAACTTATTCGCTCTAGCTCTGGGCAGGATTTCCTGAAAAGGGATGGTGAATGTGGAGTGGTGGATATGTAGGTGAGAGTCAGAGATTTCTAACAATCCAGATGTGGGTAGGAACTATAGCAGCTTGACCAAAAGCTAGGTAGAAACAAAGAACAGCCTGAAAAATAGGGTAAAGGCCACACATTGGCTGACCCAAAAACATTTCTGACCAGCTCAACCCTTTCTCTCTCTCTCTCTTTCTTACACACACACACACACACATTCATACACAACTGCCACCACAGTTAACCTGTAAAAAATAGCCTCTCTACCCCTGGTCTGAGCTAAGTTGTTGTTTTCCTTGTCCAAATGGCCATTTATGAGTCTGGGGTGGTCAGGGGAGGAAGGGAGCTATGAAGGGGTGGTGCAGGGACTCAGCAGTCCATATAATAGGATATAACATTAAGAGAGAGAGAAAGTGAGCTGGGTGGCAAGGTATTCTCTGTTGGGAGAGAATGAGACTCCAAGGGTAGGATTTCCCCAGACAGGGGACCAAAAAGTTCAGACATCCAGGACATGGTTCAGGTAGGAAATATAGCAGATGGCCAGGCGTAAGATTTCAATCTTGGAGAGCTTCTTGTCAGGGGGTAAGGTGGGCAGCAGCTTTCTAAGCTCAGCAAAAGCTAGGTTGAAGGCCTCCACTCGGATACGTTCCCTAGTGGCATGGGCAGTGCGATACTTGGCCGTGGCCCGCCGCCTCCGCCTCCGTTCCTCACGGCTCAGATGCTGCAGGTCCTTCCGACCAGACTCCCCCATCTCAGAACCCCTGGCCTGGCCTCCCCCAGGACCTCCAGGTCCTGTCCTGTCTGAACCCACACCTCCCCCACAGTCACTGAAACCTGATTCTGTCTCTGAATGGGTGGGAGGCAGATCCAGCTCCATGGGGTCTGAGTTAAGCATCATGATGCAAGGGGCCCCCACCCCGGGGGAGCTTTCCTGCTGGATGGTGGTTGGAGGGGGAGAAGCTCGAGGAGGGACCTGGAATGTTAGGTTCTCGAAATTCTGTTGAGCACAGGCACCTCAGAGTTCCATGGCCCAGCACAGCCAATATCCTGGAAGAAAAAAAAGGGAAAAGTACTGAACAGTGCAAGTGGAAAGAAAGAAAATTGGTCCTGAAAGGGTTTAGATCATAAATAATAATGAATATTTATATAGTGCTTTTAGGTTTTCAAAGTGTCATCTCATACTATCTTATTTGATCCCTACAACAACCCCGTGAGGTAGATGATGATGATGAATAAAAGCTAGCATTTATGTAGCACTTACTATGTACCAGGCACTGTGTTGTGCTTTACAATTTTATTATTATTTTACAAAATTAACACTACCATTTTATAGATGAAGAAACTGAGGTTGAGGGGTTAAGTAATTTTCCTAGGGTGACACAATTAGTGTCTGAGGCAGAATCTCAACTAATTTTTTTTAATCCTCAGTCCAGCCCACCCTGCATAGCTGCCTCAATGGGATGGAGAACAGGGAAGCAGCACATGTATGAGAGTGTGATGGTGTGTGTGTGTGAGAGAGAGACAGAGACAGAAAGACAGAGACAGAGAGAGACAGAGAGAGAGAACAACAGAAAGACCTAGGGAACAGAAATCAGAAATTGAAAAAGAAATTGATCTATTATCAAGGAGTGAAAAACTAAGTTAAAATGCCAGAGACTGAGAAGAGAAAGCAGAGGAGAAGAGGTGAGAACAATGTGGGAAAAGATGGGCACTGAAAGAAGGAAAAGGATTGTAGGGGTTGGGGAAGGAATACATATGATTTTGTCCCCCCCCCAAAGTAATATGGGGGCTGGGGGAAAAGTTTACTACAATGGGCTAGGTGTTACTTCTCCAGACCCCATATGTTATTTTTGTGGCTTGTAAAGGTGAGGACAGGTGAGGTTGGGGAAAGGTGAATGAGCATATATATGTATATTTTATTGTGGAATGAATGTAGACCTATTGAGAGACTGCAAACTTATTGAGGCTGAGCACCCCTACAACAAGCCCCTCCCAGACCACTGAGACCCCACATCCATCCTGAGACAGACAGACACACACACACACACACACACACACACACACACACACACTTCCATCCAATCTCATTGCTGCACAGCTCCACTTCTCCAGAAGTCCCTACTTCTCTCCAGGAAAGTCACCCATACCCTTTCCCAGAGCCAATCTTTCTCCATACTATTCCCCCTCCAGTTTTTCCAATTTACCTGGCACTGAGGGTGACTCCCCAAGGTCAAGTGGCCTAGAGGCTGATGGAAAGCTCCATATTTAGCCCTAGGTGACTTCAGACTTGGGCTAGGGAAAGAGGGAGGGGAG